TCTTAAGCCAGCTGTCAACTGTTCCAGAAACCCTTAGAAATACAAATTTTGTGTACCGTTTTTAGGAAGTACATAGTTTTTTTCAAGTTCTCAGAGGCACCTGTACCTAGCAAACAGATTAAAAAAATCTTTACCTAAGAGTGTAATGAATCATACAACAAACACATTTTACCTACCTCTTCCCTTGTGAAGCCAGGGGATCCTTCTGGCTTTGTATTTGCTTAAGTTCATGTCCAGCTGAAAACTGTTCAGCCCCATACCCATACGACATTCAAGTCTCAGATCTTTGACTATTGTTGCATTTATAACTCTATGGAAAAAATGAAATAGTCCCTTTGAACTCAGATTCCTGGTTTTAGGAAAAAGATTGAGACAATATGCTCATATACACCTGCTTTGAAACGGCACTGTACACTGTGGTCACTAAAGGGTCATGTAAAAGTAAGAATGTTCTACAGTTAATAGAAAACGGTGTTTCCCCCTTTGGAAAGAAATTTCTGAATTTTTCCTTTAGTGCTGGAAAATATTACATCATGTAGCTATACTGCCTGACACATTCCTTGCATAACTTTACATATTAGTAATGACATTGGTTCAAGTTTAGGCAAGTGAACAAAAGAAGACTGGTTGTAAAAAGGCTTTTAATATAAAACTTATTTTCTCTAGTCATTTGATCACTTTGCCTGAGTAAAGTATTTTCTTAAATTAATGTCATATTCCAAGAAATAAATCCTGCTTTGTAATATAGTGGAATTGTTGATCTTTTTTTTTTTTAAATAAAGCAAAATAGTGTAGTCAAATGATTAAAACATTGGACTGAGATTCAGAAGATGAAGACTTTAATAATGAAGCAGACATTAAGTGTGAGACCTGATTAAAATTACTTAACTCTTCTTATTCCTGCTTGTTTTGTATTAAAAAAATACTAATTCACTTTCCAGATTATAAGGATATATATATATAGTAACATGCAGACTTAGAAAAATATGTTACATGCAAATTGCCTTAGTGCTTTGGAAGAAAGTGACATATTTATCTAAACTCTTAAGATACATTTTAATCTATATAGATGATTTTGATATTAATTTAGTATTGATAAACTTAAAACATGATTTTTACTTTTTTAGGTTGGAAAAACCTTACATTCATGCATATGAATATAAACTATATGGGATTTTATTTTATTTTATTTTATTTTTATTTTTGAGTTGGAGTCTCACTCGGTCACCCAGACTGGAGTGCAGTGGCCGCTGCCGGCCACCGCAGCCTCGACCTGCTGGGCTCCGGTGATCCTTCCGCCTCAGCCTTCCGAGTAGCCGAAATTACAGGCAGGTGCTGCCACGCCCGGCTGATTTTTTGATTTATTGTAGAGATGAGGTCTCGCTGCCCAGGCGGGTCTCGAACCGGGCTCAGACAATCCACTCACCTCAGCCTCCCAAAGGCGCGGGATTACAGGCTGAGCCATTGAGCCCGGCTTATTTTATTTTTGAGTCAGAGTCTCGCTCTGGAGTACCACCCAGGCACGGTTCACTGCTCAACCTTCTGGGTTCAGGGGATCCTTCTGCCTCATCCTTTCAAACAGCTGGAACTACAGGCACATGCCAGCACACATGGTCAACTTTTTTTTTTGTAGAGACTAAGTCTCACCATGTTGCCCAAGCTGGTCTTGATCTCCTGGGGTCAGGAAATCCTTTTGCCACAACTTCTCTAAATACTGGAATTATAGGCATGAGCCACCATGCCTATAATCCTGGTCAGGATTTTATTTAAATTTTAAAATGTCTCTGCATTTCTAATTTAAAGAGAGAGAACTGTTGGTTAAACATTCAGAGATGAAAATATATGTTGACATAAATAAGAATAGAAGAAAAAGGGGGCTATACAGTATTTTACACATTCTCTGGGTTCTTTGGTTTTCAAGGGATTTTTGTCCACCAACATTGAGTTTTTGTTGTTAACATACAAGAATTTGTTTTTCAATTACTGAGAGAAGTAAAAATATTTGGATATTGTATAAGAAGAATGACACTGATAAATTGTAGAAAGGGACCAATTTATATTTTCAGTACTAATGATTTTTGAAAATGCTTAGTAATGTTAATAGAACTCAAGGCACAATATATATACCCTAAAGCAATATATATATGCATGATAATAAGATGATAGAAACTGTTTATACTGTAGCAGGCTTGCTGTAGAATAAGAATTTAACTCCAGGTTTCATTCTTGAGTCTACCACCTTAGAAAAATCTCTCAGCTTTGCTATGTTTTAGCTTCTTCATATATCATGTACTCTATAGGTCCATTTACTTACTTCTTACTGTCTATCAATCTGTTTTTTCTTTCTCTCCACTGAAAAACAGTTTTCTATGTGGCTAATATCTCTTCAATTTAATCACATGAATGTGACTAGCAAATGAAAGAATATTATGTACATAATGGTTGATTTGCCAATTGCTATTCCATACCAGAGTATTGAGCAGAGCCTATCATTAGTGTTTCTTCCTCCTTGCCAGTTCAGCAATGGTCAATACTGGGAAAGTTCTGAGAAAAGGAAAGTTTTCTCTCTTAAAAAAGATCTACAGAAATAAATGGTCTCCTTTTTCTAGAAATGATGAGAGGAACTTCTCTCACTAGAGCATAGGTAACACAGGCTGAACTCAGAAGAGCTAGAAGATGGAAAATGCTTGAGCCAATGTGTATTTAATACCATAGGACAGTATAGAGAACTACAAAAATTTAGAAGTCCTGAGCCACTCAATAATCATACTGTCTACATGTTGTCTACTTGGTAATAAACCTGTAGATATATGAAAAAAACTATAAAATCAAGGTCAAACAGTATATTTGTAAGTTCATGTTCATTGTTCATTAGATTAAGGTAGCATGAATGAGGCAAGATTTTACAAAGGAGATGAGCTGTAAGTAAAAGTACGGGTTAGGTTTAGACTAGTAGAATGAGAAGTAGGAGTTACAATATTCCAGGAAGGTGGAATGGTTTTGTACCAGTGAATGGAAGAAGGAAAAAATTTGGTAGTTAGTTAGAGGACTAGAAAATGACTAACTGACACAGTATACAGCTAGAAAAAGAAGAAGAAAAAAAAACTGGAAGTTTCTAAATTACAAAAAATTAGTGTTAATTGCCTTCATGTTTTCATTGTTTAAAGGAATGTACTTGTAAAGGATTTTGTATCAAGATACACAATGATAGCAGTCCTTAATTGATCTAATACACATGCATTTTGTAATCAATCAATTCTATTTTCTTTCTTTGAATGATACAGCTTGTAGATAGGGTTGAACACTAATTTGCATCCTAATATCCAATTTTCCCACAAAATCTCATTCTCTTTAGAGTTTCCCATCTTTTGATAAGGGATGACAGTTGTCTCTAAAAAGATTACAATTTCACCTGCAGTGAAATGGAAAATCTCATTACCAGTCCCATGTTCCTGAAGCTGTTATACTGGAGCTGATAAGGTCATAAGAAGCAATTTTCAAAATCTCTATAATCTCTTGTATTTTGGGGAGATTTACCCAATTGATTTTCATTTTGTAAAACTGTTTTGCACTTTGATTTCTATGAAAGGGTTGTGTGCATGAATTCATCGTATTTTTAAATTGTCTCATAAACTTCTTACTGTCTGTCATATCTCACCTATAGTGGTTGCCTCTAATCAGCATATTGTATGATAATTAACTTAGAACAAAATTTATTGATAGATAAGAGCATTGATGTCAATGTGAAGCCAAGCCTATGGCATCTAAGTTGACTCATATAAATTACTATAATTTATGGAATTGAGATTTTTTTTAACAATATCAATACAGAAAAGGAAATGCTAAGTGCTCCAAGTATAGTTTTAATATTCCTTGTTATGGACTTTTTTGGTATTGGGAGAAATGATAATGCGATAAAACTTTATGGGTGGTAAAACAAACCAAACCAAAACAACAAAACATTTCACTTGGTTTCCAAGGAAGTGTCTTTCTAAGAAAGTGCTCTTAAGCCACTACCAATTCTGTCACTATTCATTATTCAAAGTTAATTAAAATAGGAAAGCATGGCAGATTTTTTACTTTTTAATTTTTTTTTTTTTTTTACTTTTTGAGTTTAGAGCTCACTCTGTTGTCCACACTGGAGTGTGGCTGCATGATCACGGCTCACTGCAGCCTTCACTTCCTGGGCTCAGGTGATCCTTCCACCTCAGCCTCCTGAGTAGCTAGGACTATATGTGCATGCCACTACGCCTGGCAAATTTTGTTATTTTTTGTAGAGATGAGGTCTTGCTATGTTGCCTAGGCTGGTCTCGAACTCCTGAGCCCAAGCAATCCTCCTGTTTTGGCCTCCCAAAGTGCTGGATTACAGGCAAGAGCCACCACACCCAACCTCCACTTCTTGATAAAGAGTTGATGACAAACATATTCAGAAAAGAAATAGATAGTTATATCTTGTAGTATATTTTACTTGTGTCATTGATCTGATAATAGAGAAATTTTTTCTTTTTATTAAAATCAATTTCACACCCTAGGCTACCATATTTAACTCTGTGAGAAGAACATTCACTGTGTTTCTTGGGGAATATTATTTTATAAATATCAGCATGATTGTTTTATGAATTCTTAGGCTATCATCTTTGCTTTGGCAGAGAGCTAATATTATACAAATTGTCCAGAAATGTCCTTTTTTTTTCTCATTGTGTTTCCTTCTTTTGTACTTGTATAGATTTCTTTAGCAGGTTGCTTCAGGGAAAGTAACATGTCTACTTAATTTGACTTAACAGTAACTTGAAGTATTTAGAGTGGTGTTTTACACATGTAGTAAAGTTAAATGCTAAATTCTTTTGTTTTTATTCTTAAGTATCTTTTGACAATGTTTACTGTTCTTTATTTCTATTTGGAAAAGTCATGTTATAGTGTCTAAGAAAACATGAAACTTGACCATTTCTGTTGCTTGCTTCTTCTAAGTACTTATTAGGCTGTTTATCTTTGTCTTATAGTCAGCAGTCACCAGAGGACCTTGAACGAGTACCTCCCAACTCCACTAGCAATATCTTAAACAGGCTATTGGTCAGTTATGATCCCAGGATAAGACCAAACTTCAAAGGTTTGTTTCCCCCACAAAATGCTTCATTCTTTAGAGCTTAAAAATTAATTTTATATGTATAAACTAGTTCTTTGTGATATTCAAAATGATAAGATTGCAAATTGGCATGTAACTGTCCTGTAATGTGTTTAGATTCAGAGCAAATTAATGCCTAAAATATTAAAAAATAAATTACTATAATTCTTATAGTTTCATATGGTTGCTAATTTTTAAAATTCAAAAAAGTATACACTGTGAATTAATAGACTAACCTCTGTAATGAGTTTTCTAAGTACCGAGTATTCCTAACCTTATTGGTTTAAAATTTAGGCTCTGGAAATAGATCTGGCTTTTATTCACAGACACCAGAATTATAGTTTATAAAATGGCCATTTACTCATTTACAATTCTGATGGGTATTTAGAGTCTTTCCTACTTTTTGTATTTCACATTAATTCAAAAAAATTTCCGCTACCCTTTTGCTGAAAGAAGATGGTCATATGATTTTTTAAAACATGTTACCTTTGAAAACGAAAGTGACTATGTGTTCTACAACAATACTGCCACTTATCACACCTTTTAAGAGCCAAAACTATGCTTGCAACAAAATAAAAGTCATGAGCAATTGGTACAGTTGTATATATATATGTATATATATATATTTGGTCCTCTTGATGAACTAGAAAAAAGTTGTATGAAAAAAATCTCCTCTGGAAAACTATAATCCTTGTTGCTGGCTAAGGACAGGTATTAATGTAGATCAGATTAACATTATAAGACTTGATTTTTTTCCTTTACTGAAAAAAAAGTCTGCAGCTGCTTCTAGTCAACTGAAGTTATACAACTATGTTGTAAAAATGGGTTTTTGTTCATTACCAGGACCTATTCAGTTACTTTCAACAACAGCCATGGTCTGGGTTGTCACATGTCTACTCTATATTGATTCACCACCTGTTTTTCATCAGTCGGTGGTTATATGGCTAAAAGGCTAAATTCACATTTTCTCTTTGTTAGCCCAAACAGCAGCCACAATGAATTAAAAAAAAAAAAAAAAGAAAAAGAGAGAAATGTGCAACATTATACCTTAGTTCTCACTTCATGAACTTTCACATTATTTTTCAAAAGTTCAGGAAAAAAATCCATATAATGACTGTTACATGTCTGGTTAACTTTGTATTTTCATAAATTAAAATGTAGCAATTACAAGTAAAATTTATTGACTACTGTTTTGCCAATTAAAATAAGAATTTGAAATAATTTTTAAAGTGCAAAAAATTAAACCCTATTTTAAAATAATAATTTGCAGTTTCTTAAGGTAAATGTATTAGGTCAATTTAAAAACATTTTAAAGATAAACATATTTTCCAGAGTCTTTACAATTTAAGAGATGAGTATTTCTGACTAAAGAACATTATAAAAATACAATTGATTTTTTATTTGTATTATGATCCCTATTTAGAAAAATAAGTTATCAGCAATTGTGAATATGTTATACTGAGACCATAGATTTTGCATTTTGTGAGGATTGAAAATATACATAAAAATGATATGCATAAGCCATGAAAATGTAAAGATTCTTACCAAGTTTTTTTGCAGCTAATAAATATATTTTTAATTTTTATGCATAGGTATTCCAGTTGATGTAGTAGTCAACATTTTTATTAACAGTTTTGGATCCATTCAAGAGACAACAATGGTAAGATTACAACTAATTTAATATCTTTAATTGTCAAAAGTTTAACTAGAAGATAGTGAAAGTAACATTAAAACTGAAAAATAAGGAGAAACACTAAGGAAAAACGCTCTCTCCTAGTATAAAATGTTCAAAATTCCTAGGTTTTGTTAAATCAGTGATTTCGGTTACCCACTTAATTTTGCAGTTCAAATTTAACCTTAATGTAGTATTAAAACTTACAGACTGGGAAAGAATTGATGTATTCCCCCTGAAAAACTGTGATTGGATACAACCTGAAGAAAGGATTTATGCTGTGAAGACATGAAAACTCTCGAGCAAGAGTTGTTGTTGTTTTTTTTCTAATATGTTTATATGTATGAACATTCAAAATGTTTTAAGTATTCATACATTTTTCTTTCAGTTTCCTCAGCAGAATCTTTGCTTTCTCTGGCATACTTATTTTGTAATATGTGGAGCAGAAAATTGTAAGAAATAAAGAGGACAACTGATTTTTATAAAATAGGGCAACAGAGTTTCCTGAAAAGATTGAGAAACAAGGAGAAAGGGCAAAGAAAAAACAGATGAAGATTGGGAAGGAATCACAGGCAGACTCGTGTATTGAAAGGAACAGGAAAGAAGCATGAGAGAATGATTGCTGTCCATGAGATAGACTTTAGGGACAAAAATGTCAGTAGAGCATCATCAGTAGATTTCCTCAGGCTCTCAAAAACAATTCAATATTGCCTATTTGCTTTTCAGAGTTCTAGAATAATAAATTTGTGTCTTTATTAACAAGCCACATGATGAAACAATACTTTAGGTGGAAGAAAGAAGGTCCAAGTTTTTTCTGTTGTTGTTCTTTTTGGGGGGTACTTAAATTTTTATTAAGTAATAATAAAAGATTTGGATTGCAAGTTTAGTAAGAATGGCTAGAGCACAGTCCAGATTTTCTGGGACTATCTCAGACTAGTGAAAGAATGACTTAAAATATTTATTCCATTGTTCCTGATAGCAGCATAGTATGTTATGGCAATTGTATATTGTGTTTAGATAGTCATCTTTATATATAACTGTGATAAGAATGTCTTAATTGATTTTCTTAGGCAGTGTAAAGATATTTTTAGAGAATTATTTAAAAGAAGATTTGGAGGTAAAGTCCAAATTTCAATTCCAGTAACTTTTTAGTTCACTTAAATGACATGGACATACATTACAGATACACTGGAAGACTGCTCTGAAATAAAATATTAAAACTACCATATATAATTCTAGAGACTGTGTAACATTCATAAATTGAAAATATGGTTATCTATGCACTTCCCTTTCAAAGAGTAAGAGAATTGTTTTCTTTTTTTTTTTTTTCATTAATCAGTATTTTTTATTATGGTTTTGTGGGGTACAGTTAACAGACACTTCACAAAAGAAGACATTCGAGCAGCCAACAAACACATGGAGAATTGTTTTCTTAAGGCAAAACTTTGCAAGGATCTGTTTGGTCTTCATACTCCTCTCTGTATCCTGATTATCTAGCATGACACTACTAGACTAATCCTCCAAACACCACTATCAGGATATTATTGTGTTTTATAGGAAACAACCTCGCTCTGTATCTTGCATACCTCTGTAATCAGACCCAAGAGTTTTGAGGCAGCTAATGTAAGGATATGTTTTCTTCCTTTGCATTTATTCATGTGTCATAGCTCAGTAGATATTATAGTATATCCATTTTGTAATAAATATTGAATTTCTTTCAAATACCAGACACCTAAACTTCTCTAGGTCTCATCCTTAGTTACGTACTTATAAGGGAGAAGGACTTTCTTACAGTTTATTTGAGGATTACAGTAAAATATTGTATCATTTCTAACATTATCTCTTCTTGTTCTCCTACATAGACCTGTAGAGTAGTTAGCCCAAATACTTATTCCCAGCACCAGAGTCAACCATTTCTTACTATGAAGTCTTTGCCTCTACTATTTATTTTTCATCTTGATTTCTTATCTTCTAATGAGACCCTTTATTGCTACCCTTAATTGTTTTGCTGTTTTTTTCAAAATAGGCCTTTCATTTCTATTATTTGCCTGTTGCTTAAGTCTAATAGCTTGTATACTATAATTAAACTATTTTTGTATGTATTCCTTTTATTCTCTAATAGACTATACAATTCTTAAAATTAAGAACGAAGTATTCTATTTCTTCATGCTCCATAACAAAAGACAACGGGCATTCAACAAATAGTGAACACATAAATAATTTATTATACTTGCTAGTATTGAAGGAATAAAGTAACAAGTAAATTCTGCTATTTGCTTAGTTAAGTAAAAGAATTGGCAGAACAAATTTAAGCTCTAGTCTAATGTTGAATATTTGTTTGGTTTAATAACAGACTCAATAATGTCATTGTTACAGAGTGTTAATTTTGGAATTTTTGATGACTTGTATCTAGTCTTCAGAAAATTATAAATAATGTAATTATTTATATTAGCTGTTTCTTTTGATCATATATCCTGAATTTAAACCAATCTGCCCTTCACTTTGTACTGGGCAGTGAAAGCCTAAATAAATGTTCAGAATCAGAATGATACTTATCAAATCAATTTAAATATTATTTTTATCATCTTATAATTATAATTTTTTTCTTTTTTGGAAATGCTTATTTCATTTAACCCTTTAAGACAGAATTTTATAGACATGTCACTTGAGATTGTCATATTTCTTATATTTGCTCAGTCTTCTAAAAGGAAAATGCCCCAGTACCTTGCTGTGTAATAGAAAAGGCACAAGTTATTTTAGATATATAGATAACATTAAAATGTTATCTAAAGAAAAAAATGAAAACTAGTTCTTCACTACTTGTTAGAAACACTGATCAGAAATGATAGTAATGATTCAGAAGAGTAACTCAAAAGGGTATTCATGTATGGACAGGCATTGTATTATGAGAGAATACTTGTTGAAAACAAACAAACAAATATAAAAGTCCCCAAAACAAGAAGTTGGGAAAGCAGAGATTATTAGACTTGTCTAAATACAGGATATATTTTATGGCAGTATAATGGTAGACAGCATGTGAGTTGTTTTATTAGATAGGCTTGTGCTTGAGTATGTTGTGTACTTGTTTCATCCTGAAGAGAGTGAAATATTACAAAATTAAAACAATAGTATTTTACTTGGCATAGCAACTACTCAGTGGTGGTGATTCTTTGGTTGCTATACATTAATTAAGTTTCACAAAAGAATTTCATCCTAAAGAATATGCTAAAGAAAATGAACCATTTATAAGTGTATTAGCATTTGTGGCTTTGTTTCTTACTAGCCCCCTAGAAATCTCCCCTACAAGGATCTGCTGAAATAAAGGAAGTCCTAACTAAAAAGATTCTGTACTGCCTGGCACTTTCCTTTACAGTTCAAACCTTCCTACTTCAACTGGCAGTTGTCTATTCAAGAAAGCACAATGCAGAACACAGAGCCTAGGAGTGGAAATAACATAAATCAGGTGTGTCAGACAGATGTAAGGCAACTTCTGAAAGGAAGGAACAACCCAATTCTTCGACATATTCATTAAGGTGATTATCAAACAAAGAAGCAGTCAAGGCTATCACCATTAACATTATTGTCAGGAAAATTTATTCTATTTGGGAAAAAAAATCTTTCTACTTAATTATTTTTGTGTTTTTTTAAATTTAGATGTCAAACATTGCTGCTAAATCAGAAGTAATCTCACATTATTCACAAGCCATAATTATGTAGTGCAGATAAAATTATAGCCATATTAATATTCCCTACACTCATTTACATCCCTGTGATTATATGGCCCTTCAGACTGTTTTATGGTCTCATTTTGTAGCTTTATAGTTCCAATTTCTCATATCTGTGTGCTCATTTGTTTCCTACCACCTTACATTTTTGTAAGGTATCACTATTAATACTGTAAGTGCTATTTACTGGCATTAATAATACCATCACCAAAATTGTCAAGTAAATGTTAGCAACCCAATTTGAAGTTGCTGGAACAATCACTTCCAATTGTGTCAGCTTATATGTGACTGCTTATGACAATTGAATTAACAGCATTCAAAACAGTGGGAAGAATGATTTGTTGAAGACCAGGTGACATCTGCTCTACAGCTATGCTTATAACAGTTGCTGATTTTTCCCTTCAGTTCCTAATTTTGACTTTAATCAGCAGGATTTTCATAATTGAAAATGTGGACTTGCATTCATGGGGAGAAAAAATGGGTATTATGGTTTATTGTAATAATCTATACGCTGGTACTCTGCCTTATCAGGTATACATAAGAGCTCTTTCCTGGAAATAAAAGCCTGTTTATACAACTCATTTTCTTTTTTTAGTTTAGGCATGCTTTGTAATTATATAGAATTATTATTGCACTACGACTCATGTTCCTGTCAGATATTCTATGCCTTTCTGCTCCATGACTTTTTGTTTCTTTTAATAATAGATTTCAACTTCTATTGGGCAGCTGTGCCTGTCAAGAAAACAAAAATAATCATATCTGCAATCAACTAAAAAGCTTAATTCTAGTTCTTAGTAATTGATTATCTTTGTTGCTTTAAAATAATTTTATTTTACATGTTTCTTTCTATACATTTAGATGCTAAATATTAGATGCAAAATATTGCTGGCTAAACCAGAAGTTATTTCACATTATTATTTATTTATTTATTTATTTTGAGTTGGAGTCTCACTCTGTCACCCAGACTGGAGTGCAGTGGCCGCTCCCGGCCACTGCAGCCTCGACCTGCTGGGCTCCGGCGATCCTTCCGCCTCAGCCTTCCAAGTAGCTGGAACTACAGGTGCATGCTACCACGCCCAGCAAATTTTTGATTTATTGTAGAGCGAGGGCTCGCCAAGTTGTCCAGGAGGGTCTTGAACCCGTGGACTCAGGCAATCCACTCACCCCAGCCTCCCAAAGCGCTGGGATTACAGGCTGAGCCACCAAGCCTGGTTTATCTCACATTATTAACAAACCATAATAGATTTAAAATGCTTTCCTTAA